AGCGCTATAGCGCTACTACAGCCAGCAAAAACGCATAATGTCGAGAGGCTGCGTGTGTGTGTGTGTTCGGAAACGAGTGCATTTTGTTACCCATTTTTATCTCAGCAACCAAGAAAGATGGGAGGCTGAAATTTTGGTTATATGTTCCTACCCCGTGTGTCACCTTCCCGTTTTAAGATCTTTCCCATACGCGCCGAGACCCCGCGTGCGGAACCCCGAAAAAGTGCAAATTTCATTGGCAGGAAACGATTTTGTGAACCAGGCAGAGTACAAAGTTGAAACTTCGCAGAGCTATTCTTTGTGCATTTGCGAGCTAAAGATTGTGCAGCGCGTACCATCACGTCAAATTTTGCAACTTGGCACTGTGCTAACTCGAAAACTTGCCAGAAAGCAGTGGCTGAAAATTTGCCAGCATCTTTGTCGCCCGTATGGGAAATCGTGCACCTAAAATGAGTATTGATTTTCTCTTGCGTCACAACTTGCAGCACTTCAAAGATATTTGTAGCGAAGTGGACATTTCGCTTACCAAATAAGGTGCGAGGCTGAAAATCCACTGGAATATTCTACTTTCAAGTGCAGTCTTAATTCTGTTTGGAGGCGAAATTCCCTGCAAGTGGGCTTGAGAAATACTCGTTTGCCGAAAAATCAGAAACGAGTGCGTTTTGCAGCGAAAGACCGCCCTCATCCAAATATGTAAATGAACATTCAGCTCATTTGCATGCTTGGATTTTTTGAAAAACCGTCACTCTAGCAACACTTTCAGTTTTTAGTGAACTTGAAATTTGCATTTTTTCAAAAAATTTGCATATTTCATTTTTTTCAAAAAGCGAGCATTTACCAAAAAAACGACTGGGCTTCATGCAGAAAACTGGTAATTACGTAACTGGAGATCCACACTGTCCTATAATGCAACACCTTCACCCCAACCAACGCCCTTTTTGCTACATGCCAGAAAAGGCCAAAACACGGCCAATATGAGCCCAAGTGATAGGTTACATTACAGGATTCACTCCTGCTATTAGTGACCTGCGAGTTTACTGCAAAACCGCATGATGCACCACCAAGTCTGGTGTGTGCCAGCCTGGGTTTGAAAAAATGAAGAACGCTAGTTTTTGAAAATGCAAAAATTTCAGTTCTTCACTGAAAAATGGACATGTTGCTAGAGCGACCGTTCGTCAAAAAATCCAAACATGTAAATGAACTGGATGCTAAGAGAGGATGAGGGCGGTCGTTCGCTGCAAAATACACTCTCGTTTTTGAGTTTGCGGTAAAATTGAGTATTTCTCATAACCACTTGCACAGAATTTCACTTCCAAGCAGAATTAAGACCCCGCATGAAAGTAGAACAACCTAGCGAATTTTCAGCTTCGCAACTTATCCGGTAAGCGAAATAGCCACTTCGCTACAAATATGTTTGAAGTGCCCTACGTCGTGGCGCAAGTGCAAATCAGAACTCATTTTAGGTGTAAAACTTCCCATGTGAACGATAAATATTCTGACAAAATTTCAACTACTGCTTTCCGACTAGTTTTTGAGTTAGCAAAATGCCAAGTGCGAAATTTGCTGTGACAGTACGTGTTGCAGAAGCAAGTGCGACAGCTGAATTTGAAATCTTTAGCTCGCGCATGCACAGAGAATATCCCTGCAAAGATTTAGCTTTGTATCTTGCCTGGTTCGCGAAATTGTTCCCCGCCAAAGAAACTTGTGTACTTTTTTCGGGGTCCCGTACACGATGTCTAGGCGAGTACGTGCAAAAATTTCAAAAAGGGAGGATGACACGTGGAGTGATATTTGACCCTGAAATCTCAACTTTTCAGCTTTCCTGTTTGCTGAGATAAAAGTGGGTAACAAAGTTCACTCGCTTCCGAACACACACACATACAGACGACCTCTCGACAATATGCGTTTTTGCTCGCTGTAGCAGCACTGCTGTAGTGTTGCACAGCAAAAAAGCATAAAAAAACCAAGTAAGCAAAAATTTTATGAAAATGCTGGCATATCTTTTGCATCACTGAAAGTGCAAAACCAGCTTTTATAAACGCTTACGTTTCGCTTATGGATACGGTGAACTTGAGGGTGCTTTATGGTGACAATACTTTCATCCAAAGCTCACCGTAATCACACATGCTGAAGGTAGGAAGATCAAGCAGCCCCATGATGCAACGTACAGCCCCAACCGTTGTCCTTTTCTAATCACAAGAAAAAACCAAAAGTTGCTAGCATGAGCGCGCATTTTAAAACTGCAAAGCGACAGCCTTTTATCACTGTTAACTACTCTGCTTCAATTTTAGCGAGAAAACGCATAATCGTACTGAAAACTCTAGGGTGTATTACTATCTGGGTTTAAATTCACAACTTTGCGAATTTTGCAGTTCACTGGCTTTTTGACTGAATTCTCAAAACTCAGTAAACATGATATTGAAGCAAACTTCTAATGAACTTACATATGGATTAAGGTAATACAGTGACTGTCGATGACAAATCACATTTGATATGAAAAATCCAATACCACAAAATCCAAATATATAAAAAAGAATCACGTGGATCTCTAAAAATTTGCACAAAAAACTTCAGAAAGCTGGACAGAATGCTTTTTTTGGTTTTTAAGTGTAAACTATGAAATAGTACTTTTTGTTTCACGACCATCATCAAAAATCAACAATTATGAAATCCGCAATATTCGCTTTAGAAATTCACCAACGAAGTAAATATTAGAGAGGCACTATGGGCAGTACTGAAAAGAAGTGTTGTGAACGCGACTCCATCATCTGGTAGAGCCGTTGAAGGCACCAGCTTTACTATGAGACCACAAGTTGCAAACATGATTATCTCGTTCGGCATAGTTACTGTGCATCTGTTTCAACAGTAGCAATTATTAAATGTTTTGATGAGAAATTCGATTCAACACCGCAATAAAAATAAATATGCTCGATTTTCCCCGCTGACTACAGTGAGAGCCAAGAAGAGTGGTAGTCCGAAAAATTGTAAAAGACGCCCTTGAGCAATAGTGGAGATTAACAGAAACTCTCGGGCCTTAAAGAGATTACCATAATCCGGGAAAAAGAACTATATGTTTTGTCACATTCATCCATTGTGAGCATACAGCGGTCTCCCATAAGAAGCGGAAGAACCTTAAACTATTTCTGCTGATTCTCACTTATCCGTCACTTCTAATCGAAAGTATTCCAGGACACGAAATATTACCACGTCAGTCACCAAGGAACTGCATAAAGCACGGCCGGCAATATCTCTGTTACTTTTCCATCACATCATTGCTTGCCACTTGCTATTATCAGAGCTATAACACAGCAGCGTATCAACAACCAAGCAGAGCACTAGGTTAATGAGCTAGTGAGTTGTTATCATCTTTCCCTGTATTACTTTCGCACATTTATTTTCAGTTTCCGATTTCGAAAGACTGAAATTACTTGCAACCGGTAACATGAAGCGCAAAAATCCTTCCAGGCGCCGTCAAAGTGCTGCTAGGTCTAATTTTTTGGCCTGGCGTTTTAACACACTAGAGAATTTCTCGGTACCAGTAATGTATTAGCGTTTCCGAACCACCAGCCAATTTCAAACTAAAGATCAAGGCCAGTAAAACAGCGTTTCATCTTAGGCTACAACACTGGAAAAATTCCCAGTGAAAAGTACCCTTCTACAATTTCGTTGCGCAGATTTACAAAAAACTCGACATTCCTAAAATGCCATAATTATTTTTTTAAATCGCTAGATATGCAGTGTTTTCCAAGGGGTTTCCAATGATGTTTCTGCACTATTGTTCATTTTCCGCATTAAAAAAATTAAAAGAATTAGCAAGAAGAAACTGACGGATATTTTCGCGCTCTCCAATAAGCGATAAACCAATCAAAAATAACAATTCAGTAGCACCAACATAAAAATAAGCATAACGTGCAAGCTCGTACAACCATTTTCGCTCGTAATTTACATTCATTAAACGCCCATAGCGACAAACTGTAATATGAGTTTAGACTTTACAATCTTCCTTTTTAGTTAGTAAACTGAAACGCATTTGTGGACTAATATCATTTTATGCTTGTACACTTTGTGCCGCTCACATGATAATAACAAGAATCAACTTTGATTGAAAAAGACCTGCCTGAAAGGCAAGAACTACCCAGCAAAATTGCACATTTTATAACTACAGACTGAACAATTTTTTTTTGATTTAGTGATTTGTAGGTTACTCATTCTCCCCCTTTTTATGCGTTTTTTGCAGCAATGCAATGCGAAAAACGCATATTTACGAGAGGTTGTCTGTGTGTCTGTGTGTGCGTCAGTCACGCACTTTCATCTCAGGACCTATAAAAGCTGCGGGACCGAAATTTCGTGAACTTAATCTACATA